GGGAAGTAGTGGGGGGACTTCGTTGCATTGGCTTCAGGCTTGTTTTGGTACAAGTCTTTGAGCTTTGCTGGGGTGAGTTGCTTTACAATTAGAAAGAGTGGGGTTTTTTTCTAGTTGGGTTTGCTCCTGCTCTCCAGCTGAATGGCCGTAGGGTCGCTGGTTTCTGCGGTTTCCAAGCTGGGCTTGAGACCTGGGGACAGCCCTGGACCCCAACGGCCATGGTGTTCAGGGCTCCTCTCGCATTTCTGGCTCCGATTAAGTGGTTTGCAGGTCAAGGAGAGTTTTACCTCTGTGAGTGCAGAAGGGGGATCCCTCTCCCTCTCTCTCCGCAAGCGATAGGCGGTAATTACTGTTTGTGCTTTGATATTTACACTTTCCCCAAAGAAAAGCCAGTAATTGTTTGCTCTTGTTCTCCTGTGAGAAAGAGAGAGGGAAGGGGAAAGATATAAAAAAAAGAGAGAGGAGTAAAATATAAAAGGGAGAAAGAAAGAAGAGAGAAAAGAAAAGGCAGAGAAAGAGAGAAAGAAGAGAGGAATAAGGAAAAGGAAGGGAAAAATAGAGGGATAAAGGGAGGAGAAAGAAAGAGAGAAAGAAAAATGAAATAAGAGGAAGGAAAGAAAGAAGGAAAGAAAAGTCCTGCTCAGCTTAAATAAAACAGCTCTCCCTCCCTTATCCAATAAAGCATCCCTTCCGCGGGCAGGGCACAGCACCCTCGGAAAGTGCACCCCCTCCCTTCCCCGACGCCTTCGCGCCCAGCGCTGCGCCCACGGCCTCTACGACCCCCTCGGCTGGGGCTGGGCTGAGATGGAGCGGACGAGGCTCTGGGCCAGCAGAGCCGAGGTTCTTGTACTGGAGTGCTGAGGCCACGGGAAATTAAACGGGCTTTTTCTTTCCAAACGTTTGGTCCCAGGCTGGGGGAAGAGGCAGAAGAGGGGATCCCAAGGAGAAACACGTGAAGGAAGAAGCACCCAACTACAACTTAGCACAGGAGGGAAAGCAGCCCAGTCCTCGCTCTTACGGTTCAGCGCTTTCTATTCTTGTCCTCCCACCAGTGACAGATGAAGTCGGGCAGTTTTCCACCTTGATTTTTTATATGAATTTATTCTAGATAAAATGAATCCTTTTTAGCTACAGGGATATCTATTTTGGTGGCATGTACTTTTTAACCATGAACACTAAAGAGAATTTGCAGGAAGGATCCCAAATAGGGGTTGTCTTGGGTTTTGGATTTGTTGGTTGTTTTTTTTTTTGTCCAAACAGATAAACTGATTTCTAGGTGCATAATTGGATAAAGACCTATTTCTTTGCTTTACCTTATGCGTGTCTGATCCAATACGTGCCCTGAGAAAGGGTTGGGCTGAGAAAGGGGGTGCGTGACAGCAAGAAACAGTGGTTATTTTATAAACACCAAATCCAGGCCATGTGTGAGCCGTTGTCCGGGGGTAGAATTAAGTGATTGTAACACGATAGCGCTCTGTTATTGTAAACAGGAGGTTTTGTATCGCTATTGCTGCCTCTTTGGAGAGGAATTTTCAATCTACGATTTACAGCTCAGACAGGGAACAGCGAAGCCGAGACCTACTTACTGAAAACAAATTTGCATCATCTAATGAGGACTCTGGAAGAAAAAAAAAGCATTGTAACCTTAGGGTTTGTTTTTTTCTCCCCACACCGTCTAAACAAAAGTAGGGGTTTACTAGTAAGAGATATGATAGAGAAAATACACAAGGGAAAGCCCAGATTCAACAAAAAGATCAATCTGCAGGGTTTTTTTTCCTCAGACATATCCATGGGTGTTGAATGAGGTGGATATATACGGGACACCGGAATCTCCGTGCTAGCTGATTATTGGAGGGGAGGGAAGGGAATCTTCCTCTGTAGGTTTTCTGAGTATATCTGGAAAGTCATCACCTTTCCCCTCCCTGCACACACACCTCCACCACTCCTCCTCCTCCTCCTCCTCCCTCACACCACCGGCCCCTCTATGTGCCAGCCAGAGACACGGAAAGTTCAGTTGCACCAAAACATCCAAGTCTCTTATAAAGTAACCCCTGGTATCACTTTTAACTAAAGAAGTCTAGTAATTAAAAGTCTGAGTTGTTTTTCCACGTTTCCGCATGCAGTCCTAATTAAATCTTTACGATCCTCTCTGTGACTATTAACTGCCAGCATGCTGAGCGAATATCCTGTACAAAAACCCAGCAGGAGGGCGTAATTAGATAGAAAATCAGACAGGAGTCTTCTCATTAACTACAACAACTACCCCACGTCGCTGATGGAGCGAGCGGAGGGCACGCACGCCCATAAAGCGTGGGCACAACCATCGGCTCCAGAGATAAGGTGAGATAGGGAGGAGAATATTTAAAAAAAAAAAAGAAAAGGAAAGATGGCGTTTCATATTTACCTCCAATTCTGTGCTATCGAGGTGCACCTCCAGCAAGCTGCAGGGTTTGCTCATCATCCCTCTTCGAGCTGCTCAGGGAAAGGAGGGGAAACTTTGTAATTTTATTTTGTGCCCTTTAGGTATGTAGCCTATTGATTATGGGAGAGAGACACAGCCATGCACAACCACACAACAGAAGGGATCCCTCTCTGTGTGTGCGTGTGTGTGTGTGTGCTCGTTTGAGAGGAGATTCAAGGAAAATGAAAGGCAAGGTTTCAAGAAAACATTGCTCCGTCACATTTTTGGGAGCTGTAATTTTCTCCTAAATCATATTCCATCTTGAATGGCTCCGCTGTGCAGAGAGAGCAGGAGATAAGGGCTGGAGCCGGATAAGCTCAGCCTCTCGGTGTAGCAAAGATAAAGTTAAAATAATAGAAAAGAAAATCATTGCTTTGCTGTAAAGGTGTTTTCCTTATCGGAGGAAAAATGGGACAATTCCCCAAATAGGCAACAACCCGGAAAAACTCAAACCCTGAGTAGTAATGAGAAAAATCAAATAAGCCCAAGGAACCCACAGGTCCTCTATTTCTCTGAAACCCAGTATTTACCCTAAAAAGGAACCTGTCGTAATTCTGCAATAAATTGCTCTTATGACCCCTCTCCTCTTTGGGAGATGATATTGCCTGGCCTACCGCAGGAAATTTTTGTTTGTTTCTTCCTCTTTTTTTTTTGTATAACCCACTTTCGTGTTGAGAAACGAAACCCAACATTTGCTCTGTCCTTTGTGCCCGTCTTTGTTCTCTTCCCTGCTGCAGAAGTTAATGCCTTAATAACAGGTGTGCTCCTAAGCGGGCTAGGAGGAAAAAGAAAAAGGAAAATAAAGAGAGAAAAAAAAAAGGGGGGTAGGGGGGAGGCTTTGAAAGTGACACCGGGGGAGATTTTCGAGGCAATCAATGTAATAGTTCATACTTTTGATAATGTATATTCCTGCGCGCTCCCTCCCTCCCGTCCCCACTATTTCAGGACATGGAAGCAACCTCGGGAGCTGTAAATCTCTTTCTGCTTGTACCCTATACGACGTGGGCGTTGCACTGCACTCAGGCTTTAATTAAAAGTCCATAATGTAAACTATTATATATAAAAAGTAAATGGTCCTTGAATTATTAAGATGTAGCAGGGTTAGACAAACAAACAAAACACACCAAAAAAAAGGGGGGGACGGGGGAGGAAGGGGGAGGAAAGGGGAGGGAGAAGTTAAGTTGTCCTTAATCGTGTTCATTTATGTCATGCAGTAGATCTTGCAGATGTTGCCAAATTGCCAGATTTTGCAAAGGAGGAAATATAAAGCTTTATCGAATGCAAAGGAGTCTATGTGATATCTATGTTTTATAAGATAACAAAATCAGTATTGCACCCCATATGCTTCACACCTCTTTTTTTATTAGAAGACTGTATAATTTGAAAGAATTTCATTTCCTTGACGATTTGGGGGAATAATAATAACAATAATAATAGTAAAAAAAAACCCTCCTCCCCTAGTGAATTAATATAAATGGAAATAACAGAAACTCCAGTTTGGAATGACATGATTTATGTACGCGATTCTTTAATATCCAGTCAATTTGAATAGTGATGTTTTTATATCCACAGTCAGTTGAAGATGCCAATAACAGCGGTATGAACTTATTGGACCAGTCTGTCATTAAAAAAGGTATGGATTATTCCAACAAGCTAGACAAACTTTTACTGTGTAGCAATATCTTCCTGATGTATTTTTACTTTGGAACAATTAATTTCTCCGGGAAGCAGGCGCACATGGCGAGAGGAAGAGTTGATTGGGTCAGCAGATAGGAAAAGGAGAGAGATGGGAAAAGAAGAGTTGCTATCCCCCCTTCACCCGTCCTTTAAAGGGTTTAATTACGCAAATGCTCTCAAACGGAGCACCCCACGCCCAAAATGTAGTTCCCCGCCCCCACTATAGTCCTCTATGGGGACCCCTTGGCTTTTAATGGGGGAAAGGGGTTGATGCCCTTTGGGGTTTAAACACATTTCCCAGACGACTCAAACGTGAAGGGGATAGAAACAAATGTCTGTGGAAAGACAGCCCCGGCCTCCTTCCCCTCTTCCTCCAAGAACCCTCCCTTCCCCCTGCCCATTTTTTAAATCTTTCTACATATGCACACATGATTTAGTGTAACTGCGGAATCACCCCATACTGTTACAGGGAATGTGATATTAACAAATGTTTGCAGTCTCTTGTACAGCTGTAAGCAAAATAATTAACTAATTAAACTAATTAAATGTAATTACAATAACTCATTTCGGGCGTATTGCAGCTGCTTAATTTTTTTACATTTCTCTGACAGTCACTCGGAGATGCTTGGCGATTAGTGTTGTGTTCTGCTGATAGACATTAAACAGATCCCACACTGCAAATGCAGGGAAAGCTATCTTTAATTATCTAAGGAGTTTCTATTTCTAGATTCAATTTTAAGTACCAGAGATGAGGCTTAGAAATGCTGTCCCTTATGCTTACTAGCAGCAGCACTTACCACCAGGACCTTAGTATTAGTCAAATGCACACAAATACGTTAATAGAGATGATCTCCTACAAAATAAAGCAAAATGACAGGGAGGGTGTTTATTTAAAATGTGTTCAAGACAGCATGAGGTCCTCCCGTGTGTTTATTGTGTTTTAATTTAAATCTTCATGTACAGCCTCTCTCCACACACACACACGCATACACACCATCAAGGTTTAGTTATTTGAGGGAGGACAGATCAAAACCTGGAGACCATTTTTTGGCAGCATCATTTGTGACCGCAGGCTGAAAAATCGAAGGTGGTTTTGAAAAACAGAAAATTACTTTTTCTTACCAAAAAAAAAAAAAAGAAAAAAAAACAAAGAAAGAAAAAATGTTTTATTCTCCTCTTTTAGTTCATTTTGAATGTTTAGTAGGTTTTGTGTTTAGGGTCTGTAACCTGATGGCTTCTAGGTTTATTTTTCTCTGTGTTTTTTTTTTTTTCCCTCACTCCCCTCCCCTCCCCCGCTTGACACCTCATACACGAGGTTTCCTCTTGGGTATATTTGATTAATTGGTGCTTGATTTGTGGTCGAGAGACTTCTTTCTAACGTTGCTTCGTGCTTGCGTTTTCCTTTCGCGATCCGTTGGGTTTTTTTTCCCCGAACATTACTCTATTGATCACTCAGCCCAAAATATCCCTTTTTTTTTTACATCTCCACTCCCCGTCTGTGTCTCTACTTCCTTCAGAGGACAGCAGACATTTAAGGTGCTTGATGAGTGATACAGTTAGATAGTGAGTAGCACTAAAATGTGAATAATACATGTTAATAATGGTATGTGTTAGGTATAGATTTAGGTGTGCTTAATGCATAAGGCTATTGCAACGGTCCCAGGTCGAGCAGCTGCCGCATAAAGAGGCTCAGTCCCATATAGGTGGGATTATATGTGTCTATTTGCAGCCATCAGAAGAGATTCTTTGATGCAGAGCATGTATACACACTTTGGAAATTAGGTTACCAAAAAAGATCCTGAGATTTGTCTGCAGCTGTTGTAAAGTCACTTTTAAAGTCACATTTTAAAGTCACTGTTTTTAAAGGCATTATTTCCCTCCTTGGAAGTAATGCTGAGCTCTGTGAAACGTCCTAACATAAAGGAATATTGTGAGCTTCGTTTCTTTTTTCACAGCGACTTTCCTGAGTGCGGAGGCGGAGAAACGGGTAATTAATAGGAGGTCACAGTTGTGGCAGACAATATTTAATCAGGACGAGAGAAGGAGCAACACAGAGAGGACTCTGTATCCATTTCACTTTGTTTTCTGTAGTTCGTAGCTGTGAGGATGTACTTTGAAGTAAGGATAAGTTGTTTAAACTCTGTAAGTCGTTATTACAGACGGATGGTAAAGACAGACATGTATTGACCGATTTTTGTGCAGTGGAGCACTCCTCGTGATCCATATTTGCTAGATCAGAATTGGAAGGGGTCTGTCTCATCAAAACGTAGTTTAGTGCCTAAAATGCTTTAATTACAACATAGTGGAAAAAGTACGATGTGGATCTCAACTCTAAACTTAATTGTATCATCCAGCCTGTAAGTGTATGTTTCCTTATGGTCTTGGAGGCCTGCAGAGGGAAATATCTATCTATGCAAAGGGATTGCCAAAAATATTAAGGAAATTACATAGGGATTCATACGCGGCTATTGATTTATCTCGCGTATCGATCCTGCACAATAGATTCCATATACAAAGCCTCTTGTTATGTTTGCTATCTGAGCTTACTTGACATTTCTGAAGTAATTTAGTTAAGAGGAAATGAGTTGTTCCCAGTAGAGAGAGCAAACGAGTGGAGTGAAGGTAGCCAGCGTGATAAATGGCTCTTTCATTTGGAGATCTCCAGAGCTCGTTTAAGGCTAATTTTCTGTATTAGCCCCCTTTGAGCTATTAATGCAATAGGCAGGGACCGTGGCCCCTCGTCTCTTAGCTGCCCCATTAGAGCGAGCATTAAGCTACCAAGCCTGAACTCTACTGTGGTGGCAGTGGTGTTGAAATAACGCAAGGTGCTTTTAAAACTCTTCTAATCTAAAGTGGCAGAGGGTGGTTAATACGATTTGAAGGGGGCTGGTCAATGAACAATCAATAAACTAATAATGAGAAGGATGCGGTACATTAACAGTCTAAAAATCCAACGAGACATTAAAAAATCATCGTTAACTCCCAGTGTCATTAAGATTTGGGAGGTGCAAGTGGGAGGGAGGGAGGCAGATAAATCATCAAGATGATAATAATCACCAAGAGCATTAATACCAGATTTAACTCGGCTGTGAGAGCTTACCGGCTGCACGTTTTGAGGCTTTTACCTCGGTTTCTGCTGAAATGAAGGGAAGGTTTACCCTGTGTCAGGAATAAATCGTGTCTCTGTGTCAGCTGCTCATCGGAAATTTGCTTGGCATAGTCTATGGCCACAGAAGTTGTCGACTCGCACAACCTTGCGTGGCCCGAGTCCCGAGTTAATTTTTTGTGACTCTGGGGCACAGTCAGTGACCTTAAAATTATCCCGATGTGTTTATTTACTTTCAGCTGTTTCTGGCAATCGCCAGCACACCCGCACCTGATTTAGCAAGAAAAGCCATTTTAACCCCACCACATTCATTCACTGTCTCCCTGCAAACATGTTCTGTTGTTCCCATGATTTTAAAGAAGCATATGAAAGAAGCTGTCTTAATTTTTTCTTAACTTTTAATAATACAGC